GTGCTGGGTGGGGTGTCTTGGTTACACAGCTGCTTGTTCTAAAGCCAGCATGGACCCCGTGAGGTTGGGCATCTCTATACGATTTGCCATGTAGACTTGTCCTCAGCTTCCAGGTGGGTATTAGAGTCCTTGCTGCAACACTAGCAGCTGTATCTGAGCTCAGCACCTTCACTCAGGTACGTGTGCTCTAGTCACAGCACGGGCAGTCCTTGGTGCTGTCCTAGCTGAACTGAAGGTGCAGGGTTAAGCTGGTATGTGGCTACTCTCGGCACCTTCTAAACCTGGCTCTGGTGGGATCAGTTTGTGTTCGAGGCACTGGATATATAAAATGTTTTAATATTGTAATATTGCATCTTTCATTACACTGTGTGCTTTGCTTATAGACAAGCCTTGAGAGAAAAGGGAAGCTGTTTAGCAAGTCTTTCCTAACTGAACCTTTGTAAAGGAAAGAGCGGAACGTCAATTGAAAGAGGTCTGTATGCAGGGAAGGAAAGGCCAATTATGTGGTGTGTTCACATGATCATCAGAGGATCTGGATTTTATGCTTTTAAAACTTTCTTTGAACATGTCCTTTCACCTCTTGGGTGTTTAATTTCCCCTGCTATAAAATATAATTTTCTGTTGACAGGAATAACATGAAGCAATTGGTAAAGAGGTTTAAGTTTTTAAGGCATGGACTGCATGTCCATTTTTTCTACTGTGGCTTGTGTTTAGAGCTGTGGCCCATTGCTTATACAGTAAAGATAGATCAGGAATTTCAGAGATATTTCTGAAGCTAAGTTATGCAGGTATAAAGAATGAGAAAGCTGACCTTTACATTTTGTCTTGTAATTGTATAAATGTCCTGGGCTGGCAGTATCTAGGGCCACCTAGAAGTGGTAGCTGCAGTGCTGTCTCACAGAGACTTTTGCATGGGTTGCACGGTGCCGTTTCATCACTCACCCTGATGTTAACTGTGTTCCTGTATGTTACAGGCCAGTTTGGTGTTTTATAGAACTTAGCGTGTTTCAAGTAGATCCATAGTGACAGGAGAGTAAATGCAAGAGGAACTTTAGGATACATTAACATCCATTTTGTTTAGCTTGTTTTCCAATAGCTGTACTAGCGAATGTGCTTTTACCCTACCAAATGCTGTGGAAGGGTTAGATCCTGTTTCTTCTTGCTTTAATTCTCCAGAAGGAGGATTTCTTAGGCGGCAGTAAGAGATATTCTAAGCTCCAAGTGCTTCCATGACATTGAGTATTTGGCTATTGCCACTGCTCTGAGCTTCAGCCTAAGAACGTGTGTGAGAAGCAGTAATGACGCTGACTTGAAATAATGGATTTTGAACCCTTTTAACCTGTCATGCTGCAACAGGATTTCTAAGAAGCAGTTAGTTCTGTCAAATAGGAAATGCCTTAAAGCGTTGCTGTATCTTAATACAGATCAAATGACTATAGGAAAGGCAGTAGTTTTTTTAAAAGGGCATGTGATTTAAGGGGAGAAAAAATAATTTATTACCCCTTTGAAAATGTCTTTTACCTCTGCAGTAAGACTGTGGCCAAAGCACTTCTCTGATTTGTATATAAAGTCTCTCAAGTTTAAGACATGATCATTCCAGTTAACATGCACATTTATTCTGAAAATCACAGACCAAAGACAACTCTAATTTAAGTTTTGAATCAATGGTTTGTGGGACAGGCAAAGTCAAGACTATACTGGAATCATTCAGATTTGTGAATGGAGAAAGTTTTTCTACTCTGCCATTTCTTGTGATAATGGTTTCACCAGTCCAATATTCAGAATGTTTTCAGTGGATTGAAATCAGCAACAGCATTTTATGCTTTCTGTGATTACTTTTAAACTACTCAGGAAAAAATAAAAGCTGATATAAAAAAGTAAAAGCTGCAAAGCCGATATGAAGTTTCTATTTTTTCACCAAAAATTACTTTTGCCATTTACTTAAGAAAGTTTCCAGTAGCAAAATAAAGTTCTTTATGTTATTCCCATATTTGACAGCTAATATCAAAAGTGAATAAACTTATGGATGTCCTATAACAGCAATTTGAGAGCAAACATTAAAAACGTATGTTTCAATATTTTCTGAAATACAGCTCTTTTTTGAAATCCAAAGAATGTTTAACTGCATAGAATATTTGAATAGGCACTAACAAGCCATTTGTATCTAGAAAAGCATAAAGAAATAAATGGTATCTGAGATTAAAAAGAAAGAAAAAGTTAATAGCTCATGAAATATTATCACCAAAAATAAAATTTTCACCAAAATTCTCCTCAACCTTTGAAAAAAAGTTAGTGGCTTTTCAGTCTGAGAAAGTTTGGCTGTGTTTTCAGCCAAAAGAAAACACAGGTTTATAATAGGGTTTAGAAAGAATCTGACTGAAATTATAATGAGAAAAAAAAATATCGGCTCTTGATATTACTAGGAAAATGATGTCAATAGCTCCACTTTATAAAAGCAGACTAATATTGAATAATAGTTAAGTAATGTTGAGCAGTCTGCTGAGTATTCATAAAAATTAACATCATCTTCCTTCCCTAGGTACAAGTACAATTATCTAGCCACTGATTGTAGGAACATCTGCCTAAGTATGTGTTCATTTCTCTGTAGCAATTATGTACAACATAGTGACAAAAATACTAAATACTGATGGAAAAGGAGAGCTAATCCTAGATTAAAATGTATCCTTTTTGCTTTATTTCTTTGTGTTTTAGTACATTCACTTTTGCCACTCCTTTTGCTCAGTGTTATCTGAAGTCTTTGAGGAACCTGTCCTGGTACCTGGTGACTTTGGAGTGAGAATCACAAAACCACAGGATGGTTGAGGTTGGAAGGCACCTCTAGAGATCATCTGTCCAACCCCCCTGCTCCAGCAGGGACACCCAGAGCACGGGGCACAGGGCGGCATCCAGGCGGGTTTTGAAGATCTCCAGAGAAGGAGGCTCCACAACCTCTCTGAGCAGCCTGTTCGCTGAGTCTAAGTTTTGTAACTTGCTGTTTGCTGTCAGCTGATGGTCACACCACTGAAGAACTGGTGTTCCCAGCCCTCCTAGTTATACTGGCCACGGGAGAACAGGGTAGTGTGCATCCACACTGCAATTCCTGTGGTGAAATCCGTTTGGGAGATGTATGCTGCCTAGTGTTTGCTATTGGTGGATACAGGGGCCTGGCGACACCAAACTCTGCTTGGATAACTGAAGATTTAATGAAGACCTTAGCAGTTAGCTTATTCTGAATGCTGCACTTCTGCCATTGCATCTCTAGCAGCATCCAAACTGGCTGGTGTAAAACCATCCTGCTTGTACCTGAGCGAGCTGCAGTGAATTTAGTGTAGACGTTGCCATAATCACTGATTCTTGAATAGGTCTGATATTCTGTTCCTCCTTCAAATACTTTCCAATGACTAGATTGGTTATGAGCCACTTACCAAATATTTAGCTGTAAATCTCAGTTAGCTGGTTACAACCTCAATTATATTATTTTTTTCTTTTCTGCATTTTTTCTTTCCATTTCATTCTGGGCTGTTAAGCTTCTGTAATGTGGAAGAGCTGCGATTTTTAGTGTTTTTTTGGCACTAAAGACCTGACTTTTGTGTTGAAAGGGTTTAAATCTTGTGTTTGTTGTTCTCACTCAGGATGAGGCTCCAACCATAGCAGGATCTCTGTCTTTTGCAGAGAGCAAGAAAGCAGAGGTGTCCCTTCCCAGCGCAATGCAGTGCTGTAAAAGGATACCCAAGATATTTCAGAAAAAGAACTCTGTGCTCTAAACTACCAACGCTTAGTCAGGAAGTGTGCTGTGGATATGGACTGGATATCCAGGCTCATCTCAACTGACTAGTGTTTATTTGCCAATAGGAAATTCAGCACCTACTTGCGCAGGTCTTACAGAGCCTTCCCACCAGTGCATGAGCAATCCTCATGAGCAGACCCTTAGCTGCTCTGTAGGAGGCAGAGCTATTCAGCCTTATTAGGTCCAGTGTGACTTCTGCTGCCCACTGATGTGGGTCTGGATCACACTTCTCAGGGCTTCAAATCCTTGGAGAGCTTCATAGCTTGGTGTGGGGCCGGACTGGGCTGTAGCAAAGCTAATAAGTTGCTCTGGAGCCTACAGCACCAGCCGGTGTAGTACAGACATCCACTGGCAACTCAGGAGTCAATGTAGTCCCGACATGGCCAACACAGGCATGGTGCAAGCAGAGGGCTTGCTGAATCCATGGTCTGCACTGTCCATGTTTTTCCATTATCTAGGATCCCACAGCCTCTTATTGCCTGGACATAGAATTAGCTATATCTGAATGATCTTCATTTTATCTTTAATATAGAAAAATGTCTGCATTTTGCAATTGAGCATCTAAGATTACTGATGGTCCTCCCAGAGTACTAGGAATGACTATTAACACTCCTCTGAAAATGGAAGGCTTTGAAGCAGCCCTTGTGCGTGAGATGTCAGTTTTACTCCTGTTAGGAGAGTCACCTAGGGCTTTGCATAATATACTGCCAGCAAATTGAACAGAGTACAAAATTGTGTGTGCTAAAATTGAAAGCTGCTCTTTTGTGTTTTTAGGTAACAAGAGATTTAAAATGCAAAATTTATATTTAAGGGAACCTAGCTGGTATAAGAGGATGAATTTCTCCATCAATAGCTTTAGAAAAACACCTTATGATTTACCCATTACTGTAGACCAGACTTTGTTTGAGATTTTCCATTAGCCTTCTTGAGATAAACTTTTAATTTATCTAACTGAAGAACAATAAAAACAGGCTTCTCAGCCAATTGCAGTACTGGAAGAGTCATATTTATTAAAGTACAGCTATATAACTGTTCTGTGCCCTATTTTTTATATTCCAATATTGTTTTGAAAAAGGAAGATTTTGTATGGCTTACGAATGAAGAGTGTGAGCTCACTTTTATTTACTCAGAGTGGACTTGCCATGCCCTTTAGAGCTCAGGTTAGTTTTGTGCAATTAAAAATACATAATCTGCTATTACATTTTTCTTGTAGGTGTTTTATATCTCCAATATGGAGATGAAACAAAGCAGCTGAGGATGCCGAATGAAATCACAAGCACAGACACAATTCGTGCCCTTTTTGTAAGTGCCTTCCCCCAGCAGCTGACAATGAAAATGCTGGAATCGCCTAGTGTGGCCATTTACATCAAGGACGAGAGCAGAAACATATACTATGAATTGTGTGATGTGAGGTAAGCAAAAATGGAGTTACAGCTCTTGGATTTGAGAGGGGTTTTTAATGTGTTAATGGAATAAAAAGGAATGGGGTTGATACATATCTAATAGATGTCAGCTTAATATATAAAGGCATATTCAGTGGTATTTTAATAATATGGGAATCTTGTTTTGATATTGCCTCAAGCTGTAGGTGCTACATCTGTTGCACAAGTTAGATGAATGCTATACCTTGTTCAAATATTCATGTAATACACGTAGGTAGACCTACTCAATATTTTATTGAATTTTAACTGAGATGTAAATATTTAAAATACTTAACACAAAAATAAACATTTACAGGTAAAAAGAAAGAATTTTGGTAGAGAAAAAAAATATATTTTTGCTGGCAGAGCAAAGCCTGATCTGTTTGAGAGCTAAAGTTACAGACATGACTGTTACTGGTGGCCTTGTAACTGTCAATTATCCACCATCTAATGCTGCCAACAGTCAAAGAGATCTGGGGCTGCTGATCATTGCTGCACCATTTTCACCACCTTCCTAATTTATGTCAGGATGCACAGCTGATTTCAGGCATTTCCATTAATTCAGAGTGTGGTCACAAATGATCTGGTTAACATCTGGTTGCATCTCTCTGTCCTTTGGTCTGTGGGACTGCACTGCTTAATTAAATGTGTTGCTTCAGTCCTGATGCCTCTGTCAAAGTAGAAGGATCAGGTTCTCAGGGCTCCAGGAAGTCTTAAATCACTGAGCACCTCAGGCACACCTCAGACATGTTGTGCTCTGTAAAACTGTGCAGGCAAATATGGGAGGCTTTTGTTCTGTCTTTTTCATAAGGAGTTGGAAGATGGGAATAGTGGACAGAGTAGCATGGTGAAGGAGAAGAATGAAAAGGTGTTTCCTCTAAGCCAGTCAAACGCTTTTGCATTGAAGTGATGTGAAGTTGCTCTCCACTGTTGCCCTTTTTCTTGTACAGGTGCCTTTGTTCAGTGCTTCTCCTTATCACGCTGCAGTTGAAGAACGAGTTGAAACTTTTCCAGTCTTGCCACTTCAAAGTCCCCCATCCTTCTTGTTCCTGGCCTTTTGGTCAACATCGTGCCCCTCTTTCTATCTTTGCTTCTGCTTTCCTCACACCATCTACCCAGTGCCTTGTGCCCTCCAGCCTCTTGGATTTGGTTTCTTCTTGGTTATTTTCCTTTCTTTACAGGCTGCAAACCTGCTCCCTGGCCACTGTAATGCCTACATTCAGGCCCATCTGATTTTTTGCATCATCATTCATCATGTGCCCACATTCAGCATTTTTGTACATCAAACAGAATTCCCTAGATCAAATCAAGTGATTAAATTAATATAGGCGCTACTGCTTTGTTGATGGGTCCCTTATTGCCAACCATTGGCTGGCCCATGAGCTCTCTCTCTCTCTTCCCTTTATCCCTCAATCTTCCATGGATTTTCACACGGCCAGTTTATGCCTTCATCTCCTCCCTGTGACCAAGAATGTAGGTGTTGATTATCTTTATATCACACCGCGAACTCCCTTTGTTTCTCCTTATTCCCATTGCAGACGTTACTCTGCCAGCCTCAGGCCTGGCTCACTCCCAACATCTGCTTCCTCTGCTCATGTAGTTCAGTCGTAGACCACTTCTAGAGGAAATCACAAGACCCATCTGAATTTTTCTTTAACAAAATTCCCTCCTTCAGTTCTGCCACTCTCCTAGCTAACAAAACCTCAGCAATTGCAGATTAATGGAGTCCAAAGCCTGCGGTACTAGTTGTGTTTATCATAAAAAAAATTACAGCAGGTTCTTCATTTCTTTGTTTCTTATTCTTCAGAATATCTTGTCAGTGTCTGCACTTAGTAAACAGATGAAAAGAAATACTAAATTTTAACCCTTTGTTTGCTCTCTCTTCCCTTGTATTTCCAGACACAAATGTCTTGGTCAACTCTTAAGCTCACCACCTCTTCTTGAGGCTGTCATGCTCCTTTTTTCTCCCATCCCCTGCTGTTCTTTTTCATTAACTTGTTGTTCTATTATTGCTCCTGTTCTTCCATTGTAAATATGTTTGGGTGCCTCCCTGCAAAACTCCCTGCACACAATTTACATTCCCAGTTTCCAACCCATCACCTTCCTCTTTTGTATTCACTTCTACAGTCATCTGGAGTTTACTCTTCTAACTCTGTTCCAATATTTACAAGCTATGTGTTGTTCCCTACTGCTCCATTGCAGCTGTCAAAGTCACCAAATGGTCTGCTTTTGTGACTTTTCCATCTTTACTCTCTTACATGTCACATACTTTTAATATTTTTTTTCTTGAAGTCATGATCTCTGTTTAGTTCAATGGCTGTTCTTTCCTGATTTTTTTTCTTGTTCCTCTCCTCACTTCTTTCAGATAACATATGAGAATGGTATCCCTTCTTAAACAATCGTTTTCTGTTGTGTATTTTTTTTTCAGGGTTATGTCTTCATTCTCTTTCTCTGTGTCTTCCTTATCATATCCCTAAACATTAGTTGAATTGTAGTACTTACCTCAGTAACTTATCTGTCCCTCCTATCTAACGCCGGAAAAACTGAGCAATATGAAATTTCAGCAATCTGAAATATAGATTTCTGTGTCCACCTTTTGAGGTGGTTGTGATTCATTCTGTAAAATTGTCTGGTAAGTGGTACATATGAGAGAACCCTTCTCAGTTCTCGATGTCTATTCTGTTAGTGTCTGTAGCTGAAGTATATGAATCCTACCTCTTCTGTCCAAGCTAAAATCTGGATCTTTTCTTCTAACATAGTCTCATGGGCCATTATTTTCACCTCAGCTTGTGTTCGTCCTCATTAGACTATCGTATTCCCTTTCCGCCTTTTTTTTTTTTAATACATTACAAGGTTTGAGGAAAACACTATCTTGCTAATTAAGCCCATAACACCATTATTCTAAACTTTTTTCAAGGCTCTGCATCAGTTTTTTTTTTCTGCATGCCATCCCTCTAATGCAATCTTTCTTTTCCCACGGCATATCTGAAACACTCAGCTAATTCATCAGCATTTTAATACAAACTGCTGCAACATTCTTTTCTCTGTGCTTGACACAGGTGATCTTATTTACTCTTACCCATTCAAATGAAGCAACAAAGATCATTCTCCTGGCTTGACAAGCAGAGATACTTTTTTTTTTTTTTTTTTTTTCATTTGTCCTCTGGCTTTATCTCCTCTGTCTCATTAAATAGAAGGTACTTGTCTCACTGTGAGGGCCCCTTCAAGCCCACTTCAGCCCTGCTTTTCATTTCTTGCTGGATACCAAGTGCCATCTGCTTCCACTTAGCTCATAATGCCAACCTCCATTGTACATGTCTTTAATTTGCAAACAAGTGCCTTCATGCTCTCTGCTAGGCATGGAAGGGGTCCTCCGTAAACATCCGTGAAGCTTCTGCGTCGCTCCCCATCCAGTCCCGCTCTCCTTCCTGTCCCGCTCCTGCTGTTGCACTGCTCTCTGCCAATGTGGCAGTTGTGCCAGCATCTGCTTATTACTCATCAGGCTGGAGAGAATATGGTCTTCTTGCTTTTTATTCTCTTATCGGTCTTCTGTTGTCTCTTGTGTCTTGTATTCATCTTGTAAGCTGGTGAAGGGATTGTGTTCTGGGCGTGTTTATCCAGCACATGGATCAGTGAGGCCTTTGAACATGCCAAGGGCATCTGGGAGCTACATTAATGCAAATAATAATAATAATGAAGGTACAGTAACATATACCTATTATCAGTAATGTTTATCTTAGAATAGCAACATGAGGTGAAGCAGAATTCACTTTGGAGATCAAATGCCTAGTATTTTGCTGCATTGCCTTACAGCAATGTTTTAAAGTGTCATGTTTCTACAAGAAATATTTATGGAGGACGCTTTTAAAACAAACTCCAGCTAGTTGAAGTACCATCTCGGAGCCATCAGTAAAAAGAGAGAAAGGCAGCAGATAAAACTTAAATGAACAGTAAGCCATTTCTTGAGCTAAAAATGAGTTTGTTTTGTATCAAAAAGAATGTGTTTCCAAGTCTGAGGCATAAAATTGTAACTGAGACGCTCAGTGCGGGTCTCAAGGCAGAAGTGTCACGTTTGTAAGACGGAAAACGGTTTATGTTACCATAAATAATGTAAGAACTTGGACTTGCCACAAGGTAGCTATTTTCTTATGCATTTTGCAACTAAGACCTCATAAATACTAAGCTCCTCATCAGCTCTGCAGTTCTTAAACAGAAGGCACTGATCTCTCTCTTAAGATACAGTGTTTCTTTAATAACTCCTTGACATCTACAACAGCAGCTCAAGTCCTGACTAGCTCACCATTCAAAGCAATTGCTGATTGTAATATGACATTATAAGAAAGAAATTAGACCTGCCCAACAATCCTTTCCTTCATTTTTAAATGATAATCCCAGAGATTAAGATCAGTTCACTGAGTTTGTAGCTGCACCTGGAGGAAAGGAATTTAGTCACATGGGTAAATTCTCTAGAGATTGCCAGTGTGAAATGAAAGGAATTGCAGTTTTGAAGGGATGCAAGTGTGTTTAGATTGAAGGCTTTGTTACTGATTCTGTTTGAACAAGGGATCATCGGGACCTGGTGCAAATTTCTAAGCCATAAGATTATACCAAGGTAAGTTTAGAAACAATAGAAAACTTCTGTCATCTAGCTCTTTCATAAATGTAAGAGGTTTAAAATGGACAAAGTTTTTTGTCCCAATTTAACACAAAAAGACTTTCCTAGGACTTTTCATCTAAGCAATTTCTGTAGTAGCTTTCATCAAAACTGTTACCTATTTTTTGTTGTTATAATTACTATAAACTTCGCATATATAAAGCTTAGAGGTTGATTTTGTTTGCTGCTGGATTTTTAGCTGTTGCAGATTTTTGGGGGGAGGAGTTTGTGAACAAACAGTTAATTAAAATTGCCTTTAGAATAGTTAGTTAGACTTTTTTTTTTTGGTATTCTTGCTTCTCAGAACAGGAAAAATTAATGTGGGTTGGGTACACAATAAAACATGTAAATAAATATTAACTAAATCCTTTTGAGTGCCTTGTAAATATTGAAGCTCTATTGTCTTCAAAGTGTTTTTCACTGTATGGCAGGATCTTGAAAGAAACTTAGCACTATCTAATTTTTGTGGGTGTGGAGTTGCAGTGAAGCAATGATACTTCCCATGGGAAAGAGAATCAAAGTCGGCTTTTGTTTGTTTGTGTGTGTCTAAGTTGGGGCATTTAGGTTTTTCTTATAGGTCAGCTGCAGCCCTGCTATGTCTGTCCATCTGTTACCTGAAACTTTAGGGCAGCAAAGTAAATAAAAGCACCTGCATCAGTTATCACTGCTGGTTCTTTTGATTCTAGGAATATTCAAGACCGATCTTTCCTTAAAGTTTACAACAAAGATCCTGCACATGCATTTAATCACGCTTCCAGAGCTGTTAATGGAGACATAAGGGTAAGTACCTTTTTACTTCTCTTTCCTCCAGTTCTGAAGTTAGATGTTTATGTTCATATCTGTAATGTAAATACACCAGTTCATAAAGTCTGGAGTATATATGCAACATATACAGAAGGGGAATTGATAATGCTCTCTGTAATCTCTTTAACTGCTTTGTTTTTTCCAAATACTTGCCTTGAGCATTAACTCTTTTTTGTTCTTGTTTACTAACATTAAAGCTTGTGAATCAAAGCATAGTTTTTAATTACTTATTTAAGGGCATAGATTGGTCTAAGAGTTTATACAGCTTCTTATTTCATGCTTCCAAACACTTTATGGGGGGTAAAGTACAGCATGTTGTTATTTTACTCTAGCAACAGTGCAGAATGGACTGCAGTAGCTGAGCAGTTGTAGCTAGCTTGAAGTCCATTAAAACACTTTGTAAATGGCCATTTCAGCTAAGAAATATTTATAAGCACCTGTCACAGTGTAAATGGTTTTGTGATTTCCTAAAATTATCTACCCATATCAAAAATAGAAATACGTTAGCCTTTGTTTGAGTGCCTGTTTTGTATTGAAAGCTGGTAGCTTTTGGAAGGTATTCCCTCTGTCGCTGTCACCATTCCTGTCTTTGGCGGGACTGCAGCCTCGGGGAAGCAGGGCTGGACACTGCTTGGTTTGGGGCAGGCGGCAGCAGTGGCCGTGGCCCCTGGGCCGCCGCGTGCAGCAGGCCGTGGTGGTGCTGGGAGGTTGCATCCTGCCAAGTGCTCTGCCTAACTGTGCCTTTGCTTCTCGATCTCCTTATCGATGCCATGTGTGTCATGCTGCTTTATTATTGGTATTTCGTGTAAGTACTCCTGCCATTTTGACAGCTTAGGGCAGCATTGTTTTAGTACAATTGCAGTGGTTTATATACAGGCACTATTCTTAACTGTCTCTCATTTAGGTACCTCAGATACAAAATGGTCCTTTTGATAGGTCAGAAACCAAATTACCTGATTATGCACACTCAACAAAAGAGGGCAAATAGATGTGTTTCAAAGGGCTCGTGATTGGTTTTAGTGTCTTCCCTTAAGGTCCTGAAATTCTTCAATTCTAGCTACATCCTTGTAGCTGTAGCTAAGTGTATTTCCTTTCATTCATACTCAAAAGCATGACATGCTATCACTGTGCAAAATAACGTTAACTCCTACAATATTGCAGCTTCAGAAAGTCAGACCTGCGCTGTTCTTATCCCATGTGCAGTGATGCTGACTCTGCCTGCCCTGGCTTCCACTGTAACTGTCATGTGGACCTGCTCTTAGATAGCATTAGTTAGGTTAGCTAATGATATATTCAGAGGTAAAGAATACTTCTTTGGCCCTGTTCCAGGTATTTGCTGCCTAACAAAGTTGTTTTGAACACAGGTGTTGCTTCTGTGTAAAAACTATAATTTGTATTACCTGTGTTAAAATGCTGTCTTGTACAAAGAATTATACCTCCTGATTATGAGTGAATTTTGTGTGGCCAGAAGTCAACCAGTGACAAGGTGTTGTCCCCCACAGAAGTGGCAGCATCAGGGAAAAATGTTGTACTTGGCTCCACTCGGGTACCAGAGACTGTTTCCAAATTCTGCACATCCAGTAAAGCAGTTATTTTCTTACTTGGTCCATCCGCATTGGTAAATTTTGGTCTTTCTGGTCTGGGAGGTGATGTCACAACTTACTCACAGCTTACTAGATTGGGGTAGAGATTCACCTGTGGGTAGTATGATTATCTCTGTCTCTTTCCTAAGGAAAACAGATAAAATGGTATAAGAGTATAATATGAGAAAAGTACATCTAATGTACTAGTATGGTATCCAAAAGAATGGACTGTGCCAAACACTTTGCTTATCATCCTTCCTTTCCCACGTGCATCTTTGCATGATGATATTGAGCGCTAAATTCACTGCAATGAGAAGCAGAGAGCAACTACTGTAACCGTTGTGCACAGCCCCAGGATGAACCGTTTCAACAACCCTACAGATAAGCAGCTTATTGTCAGATCAGTTTAGAGAACGGTATGTAGAATATCAAGAATTAGCAGTTGTAAGTACATTTTTCCATGGTGATATTGAATGTTTTATCAGCTGCTGTGTGTGGGTCACAACTTTGTGGAGATTTTTTGCTTTTTGGAGAGGTCTGGCCTTTACAGATTTTTCTACTGTTTGCCGCCTTTTCCCTTTGGAAGTTTTCTCCCTAGGTTTGACGATGTTCAGGCTTCTATTCCTGTGATTTATAATCATTTCCATGTAACAGATTCAAAATAATCTCAGAAAATAATGTTAGCTGCCAGCTTGGACACCTGTTTTAACTACTAAACAGATGTGAGACCTGTATAAGAATTGTCAGTAACACTTGAAGTATTAAGTATTATCCATACGGACAAGAAGACTCAGAATGTGTGAGAAGAATGTGGGATCTGGGCATTCAGATGTCCTATATAACTACTCACCTTTCATGTCCTTTAATTCTGATTTTTTTTTCTTTTTTCTTTCATGCATTCTCTGAATGGATTGTGAGTAAGAAGAGAGCTCTTTCTTGGGGTGTAAATATGTCCTATAGAAAATTTTCCTCTCGAAATCCTTATGAGTGCCTTATTTGCTCACTGCCGCTGTCCCTTGGCCATTTACATCTCTAAGAGCATGTTTTGCTTGACAGCTGTGCTGCTTTGAAGGCTGTTCAAGCAAGCGGTAGCCACATAGGGCTGTCTCTCTGAATATTTATGTTTGTGTTTTTTTCCTTTTTATTATCTCCTTCCCGAAATGGACACTGCAAATCTGTAGCAGCTGATTTCTTTGGAAAAATACGTTTTCATATTGCTATATTTCATTTTCTTACTCCTGTCTGTGCCGTGAACCTTTCTTTTGAGATAGTGTTGTCTTATGACCCAAAATTGAAGTTTAGATGATCTTTTTATTCTGCCAGGCATGTTTTAAGTTCCATGTATACCACTTGCCTGGTCATCTTACCAGCTGAATTAACATTTTGTTATTTGCATAATTTCAAGTAGGAAAAGTCTTAGATTTCCTAAGTGCAAGGTCCAGGTTGCTTCTCTTCTCACATTCATGTCTGTTGGTGTATTGTACAGGTGTATACCAATAAATATCGATATAATGTATAAGTGACATGAAAGAACAGAAAGATTTTTGTGTGTTACTGAATCAATTGAAGTTCTTTGGATGTAACACATCCTTCTTCCACCTCTGTTACTGCAAAGTCATGGTTCTTTAGGGATGCCTTCAGGCTTTGAGAAGCAGCAGTTCTTTCCCCAGCTCTGTGTGCATAGCACATCTCCTGTCCTATTTTTTTTGAGGGGTGACTAAGAGAGGAAGGGTAGCTAAATTACAGTCTTACTCTTGTCTCACTGCAACTTGTCTGTGTTTCTGGTGGCACAGTTGGACACAGTTGTGCAGTGGCTTGTTTGGGGCTTCATCTCTCTGCCAGTTTGAGAATCAAGAAGGAATTTTTACTTCATAAAAAAACTGGTGGCTATTTTGCTTGGCAGTCTTTCTCTCCCAACCACCTGTCAGAAAATCTGAGAGTTACTTTGTTGCAAAATGTTATAGACCCACCAAGTTTTTGCTTAATTCCCTAACTGGAATATAAGACCTTATCGGGCCAGTGTTTTATCCCAAACCTCAGCTGGGTGGGTGAGGTCAGAGTATGCAAAGAATGCTTGTTGTGGCTGCCCTTGTACTGAGCACTCTTCAAGGTATTTCTTTTTAAAGACTGTTTCTCCAAGAAAGAGCAATTAGGGCAAGTTCTGTCAAGCTGAATTGGATAGATGGGAGCACCTGGAAACTCATTTTTTTGGGGAGTTACAATGGCCAAAAATAAAAAAAAATGATGTTCTTGTTAGCGATGGGCAATTTTGGCTGTCAAGAGAAGGGATCACGTCCAAATGAGATGTTCAGCAAAAGGATACAGACATTAAGTAAATTGGATAAATTATTTCTTTAACTACCCTTTACTACCAAAATTGTGCAAAAGCAGGTTTTCATTCTCCTCCTGAAAGTGGCTGGGTACAAAGTTGTGGGTATTTTAGCTCTGTGATATGTTATGTATATGCAATTTGTGAATGTAGGAAAAATCCTACTACTGCTAAAATTCTTCAAACAACCTCCTGTGAACTTAGAGCACAGGAGGAGTCTGAAATTCAGTGCAGGTTCAGAGGACTGATATAGGACTGATAAGAGATGTAGGCTCATCATTCTGTGTTCTTAATATATGTGTAAACACACATGCAACTTCTTTGAGATGCTTAACTGTATTTTATTGGCATGTTTGTGATCTTAACATCAATAAACATGAAAGGAAAACTACAAATGCTGTCAAAATTACATTTGTTCCTTGCATACTATGGCTAAAAAAGAAACCACGCATACAACGCCTGGAAATAACTGGAGGTATCTAGACCAAAAGTATTTACTGGAAAAGAATTCAAGCAATAGAGTGGGTGAATGTATTTAGCACTAGGATGCTTATAGGACAGGGTGCATAAAAGTTGCCATGTGTGTGCCTTACTGAGCTTATTACTGCAATTTTTTTCCCTTTGGAGAAGAAAAAAAAATAGGAAAAAGAAAAAAAGCAAACACTAATGTGTCTATTATCTGATAGAGACCTTCCAAAGGATACAAATCTCATCTTTCCTGCTGTTTTGCTGTCTGCTTTTTTAATGCTCTTTTTGTCATTGAGAGGTTATGACAACATGAGCCATATTGTATTTATAAACATCACGTGTTTCCTTGATATGACTTGCAGTGTCTGCCAAACAGAACACATGGAAGAAACATTTCTCATTAGCTCAGCATTGGTTTTGGTTATACTGATTTCCGGGACAGGAAAAATGCCTTCCTTACTCAGATTTAACTTTCATGCAGTAGAAAGAAAGCCTCTGAGTGTCCATGAAACCGCTTGAATAGAGACACTGCAGCTCTTCTAGCCCACATATTTTGTCTGGGAAAAGAGGGAAAAAGTGGTTTATTTGAAAGAGAA